TTATAAATAAATAGTGTTTATATACAACCCGCGACAATGGTGTTCTACAGGTAGATACATGGAAACGGACATAGAATGAATGGATACGGGTGGGAGTATACAGTGGTTCAAGCTCAACACCTGCTCCTTGGAAACCCTATACAGGGTCGCTATGGGTTGGAACGGACTCAATGGCACTTACCAACAACAACAACTAGATCAAATAAAGACCAAACACCAGAGGAATTGTGGGATGACATCAAGAATATCATACAGGAAGAAAGTAAAAGGTCATTAAGAAGACAAAAAGGAAAAGACCAAAATGAATGTCAGAAGAGACTCTGAAACTTGCTCTCCAGCGGAGAAAAGCTAAAGCAAATGATAAAAATGATGAGCTCTGGTGGCGTAGTGGTTACGAATCGGGCTGCTAATCTCACGGTCAGCAGTTTGAAACTACCAGCTGTTCCATGGAAGAAAGATGAGGTTTTCTACTCCCATAAAGATTTCCAGCCTCAGAAATCCTGTACAGGGTCACTATGAGTCAGAACTGACTCCACGGCACATAACAACAACAAAAGAGCTGAATAGAAAATTTTCAAAAAGCAGCTTAAGAAGACAAAGTAAAATTTTATAATGAAATATGTAAAGACATATAGTTAGAAAACCGAAGGGAAGAATACACTCAGCATTTGTCAAGCTGAAAGGACTAAAGAAAAAATTCAAGCCACAACTTGCAATAGTGAAGGATTCTATGAGCAAAATATTGAATGATGCAGAGAGCCTCAAATGAAGATGAAAGGAATACCCAGAGTCACTGTACTAGAGATAGTTGATGTTCAACTATTTGAAGAGGTACCATATGATCAAAATCCGATGGTACTGAAATAAGAAGTTCCAGGTGCACTGAAGGCATTGGTAAAGAACAAGGAACCAGGAATAGATGGAATACAAAATTAGATCTTTCAACAAACTGTTGCAGAATTCACTCATCTATGGCAGGAAATTTGGAAGACAACTACCTCACCAATTGACTGGAAAAAAATCCATATTTGTGCCCATTCCAAAGAGAGGTGACCCAATAGAATGCAGAAATCATGGGACAATATAATATTCCAAGCAAGCACAATTTTGCTTAATTCAAAATAACTGCAACTATAACACTGACAGAGAACTTCCAAAGGTTCAAGCTGGATTCAGAAGAGAATGTGGAATTAGGGATATTATTGATGTTAGATGGATCTTGGCTGAAAACAGAGAATACAAGAAAGATGCTAACCTGTGCTTTATCGACTACACAAAGGCTTTCAATTGTGTGGATGACAAGCTATGGACAACACTGCAAAGCATGAGTATTTCAGAACCCTTAATTGTGCTTATGAGGAACCTATACATAGATCAAGAGGCAGATGTTCAAACAGAACAAGGGAAAACTGAATAGTTTACAGTTAGGAAAGGTGTGTCCCAGGCTTGTATTCTTTAACCATACTTAGTCAATCTCTACACTGAGCACATAACCTGAGAAGCTGGGTTATATGAATAAAAATGTGGCATCATGATTGGAGGAAGACTCATTAACTACTTATGATATACAACCTTGCTTGCTGAAAGTGAAGATTTAAAATACTGATGAAGACTCAAGACCACAGCCCTCTGTATGGTTGCACTTCAACATAAAAAAACATAAATCCTCACCACTGGACCAATAAAAAACATCCATATAAATGTCCAAGGCTTTATTTTGCTGGGATTAACCATCAACACTAATCGAAGCAGCAGTCAAGAAATCAAACAACGTATTGCATTAGTTAAGTCTGTTGCACAAGACCTATTTAAGTGCTCAAGAGCAAAAATGTCAGTTTCAGGATTAAACTGGGCTTGACCCAAGCCATGGTATTTTCAATAACCTCATATGCATGTGAAAGTTGAACCGTGAATACAGAAGACTGTAGAATTGATGCATTTGAGTTATGATGTTGGAGGAGACTATTTTAAGTATCACAGAATGCCAAAGAACGAACAAATCTATATTGGAAGTACATCCAGAACGCTCCTTGGAAGCCAGGATGGCCAGACTTCATCTCTCATACTTTGGACATATTGTTAGGAGGGACCCGTCCCTGGAGATCATGTTTGGTAAAGTGGAAGATCTGAGAAAAAGAGGAAGACCTCCAGCGAGATGGATTGTCACTGTGGTTCAAATGTAGTAATGATTGTGAGGAAGGTGCAGGATTGGGCAGTATTTTGTTCTGTTGTGCATGGGGTCACTATAAGTCAGGACCCACTCGATGGTACTTAACAATTAGGTCAAATAATTTCACCCATGATCAGAACTTTTTTCTCATAACTAAAACAGTTGAATAAAATTTACCACCTTATCACAATTTTTAGTTCATCTCTCCCCAAAGGGATTGAGGGGAATATATTTTTGCTCTGATCTTCTCTGGAGTCCTGCCATGGTGCTATTGGATAAGCACTGGACTGATTGCTGTTTGGTGGTTCAAACCTATGTGCTGCTCCTCAGAAACACTGTAAAGGGTTGCTATGAGTCAGAAATGACTTGATGGCCCTTAACATGTTCTTCCCAATGCTAACTATAATGCTAGATGGTTCTAGTAATAATAGAGTGCTTACTTTATTATAGGCACTGTATTAAACATTTTATGTATAAAATCCCATATAATTCTTACAACAGTCCTAAGAAAGGTACTATTATAATCTTCATTTTACAGATAAGGAAACTGAGATGTAGAAAAGTCAAGTAACTTGTCCCAGGTAACACAGATGAAAATAACAGACTAGGATACAAAATGTCTTCAGTTCATATTTTTAACTGTTATACCATGTATTTTTAATGGCAATTGCATACACACTAATGCAGATTAGTTTCAGATGTCCTTTGTGACATTTATATATTCAATGCCACTTAATAAATATAAAACAAAACTAAACCATTACAAAACTCACAATAATTTTCATATCAATTTGCAACCTATTCACATTACCATATACTTTTAAAAAGGAAAAGTGTAAGCATTTAAATATGTTGATAAGAATTATAATCTCATCTAGTAATTTTTAAGAGGGCTACTTGTTTAACAAAATGGCTTATATTGTATCCAAATTTTGAATAATACTGTGAAATGGAGTATTACCCTTCTATATTGTGGCGCTGTGGGTTAATGCATCAGATTGCAAAGCTGTTTGAACTGCAAGGTTGGTGGTTCAAGCTCACCAACTGCTCCTTGGAAATCCTATACAGGGTCACTATGGGTTGGAATTGGCTCGCTAGCACTTAACAACAAATTTATCAATAGTATGAAATTATATGAAGAAATCAGAATGGTCTTTGAACTTTTAAAATCTATTACCTCCCAGTCATTAGATATTTCTTTAAACACTAGAAGAAAGTTGAGTTCAAGTTTGTACCAGGTCAAGTAAAGCAGAAACTTAAAAAACCTTTTATTGAATCAAGAGGCATTTCTACTTACTTTCTTTTCAATGAAAAATAAAGCCAGTGCTACCTTCATTTTCATATTTATTTGAATTTATGAAAAGAATTGAGGGCACTAATTCTCAAAGTTAGCTGATCATTGGAATTGCCTAGCTTATACCTACATACCAAAGAAAAATACTAAACCCACAGCTGTGGAGTGAATGGAAACCCAGCAATCTTACGGGACAGAGTAGAACTGTCCCATAGGGATTCCAAGGCTATACTAATCTTTGTGGAGGCGGTCACATCTTTATCCCATGGAGTCACTGTTGGGTTTGTACTGCTGACCGTCTGATCAGCAGAGGATCGCTTTAACCACTTGCCTTCAGAACTCTTACCACCTCTCAAAATGCAAATTTAACTAGTACAAGGTAGGCTTTGGGTATATGGAATGTTTTAAAACTAGTCAGGTGTTTCTAAAGTACAGCAAAATTTGAAAACCATTAGCTTAGAAACTGTCTCCTCGTCACAGAGGTCAGTCTTCAATTTCTTTGATTAGAGTAGAAGTATTTTTATTTTAGGGGAGCATGGTGGCTGTGTAAAACAAAAGCACTGGATTGCTACTAGAAGATTTGTGCTTTGAAACTATAAAATGAGGCTCTCTGCTCTCACAATGATTTACAATCTTGGACACTTTATACAGGGTCACTATGAGTTGGAACCCACTTGATGACATTGAACAACAAATTTCTATTTTAAGGGTGTATCTCCCTTGATTAGAAAATAAATACCACAAGGTTAGCGATTTTCTGTTTTTATTCATCACTGTTTTCCCATATCCGGAGCAATGACAGGTACATAATGTGGTGCATACCTATCTTTTGAATGAATACATGATTGCTTTATACTTCTCTTTTGTCTCGATTTTTTAGTAAATGCATAATAATAATAATTCAAAGATATTTACTGAAAAAAAATGAATGAATCAATCTATTGGGATAAATGTTTTTAGGCAAAAACCATAATCTTATACATAAGGAGGCTTAAAAAAATTTGTGGAAAAATGTAAAAAGATAATGGAATTTGCCCATGAACTTTTTTAAGACCCTTGGATAAACACACATAATACATACACAGACACAACTTAAAAAAATATAATAAATATATCAAATTTTGAAAGATAATATACAAAAGAGTGCAATTTTAGCAGTTGAGAATTCATTGTTTTCAAATATTTTTCACATTCTTATGCTATAAAACAAAGAAGTGACCCTAAACAACTAACTCTTCAGTTAATAGTCAAGCACTCATGTGCTGGTAAATTTCTTTTGAAATAGAATTACAGATTAATCTTGACAAACACATATCAGCTTTCAAAATGTAAGTAAATGAACTCCTCCTTACATCTCCATAGTTGTATAAAAAATGAGTTTCTGGTTAAAATATTTGGATTAGTTATTTTCTTATTTGTTCTCAGTTCAGATCCAGTATTTTAGGAATAATCTCATATGGAAAAATGCAGTTATAAAATCACTTTGGGCACTTCTTTATATAGTATTTAGTTAGGAAAATCATAACAGACCTATTTAGTAGATGAATTCTCACATATGGCTTCATTTATTACAGTTCTACAAGTATTACATCTTCTTAAATTCAATATCTTAGACTACGTAACTTTGGTTTTCTTAAAATCAGCATTGGTTGCTTGATTGTAGGCTTGTCACCAAAAAGTGCTGCTTCGCTTTCTGTGGTTGGAAATCTTTTCTGATATATCAAGGGATATTCCTTCTGAAACTTTAAAATGAAGTGAAAAGTTATAGAGAATATTTAACATCATTTCTGCATTTCAAGCCAGTGTTCACCATTTGATAATAAATTCATTCCCTTTATCAAACATGTATTCCAGGGGATGAGTTTCCTTTTACTTAGTCCTTTGTCTTTGTCTCCCCTCTCTTTTCTTAGATATTCAGGTTAGTCCATAAGACAGCTTGACTCCTTAGATCTCAGTATTACCATTCCAGGACTCCCTTTTGCTGCTCACCTTCCTCCTTCCCCCTCTCCAGACCTCTTTTCCCTTTTCTTCGATAAAGCCTATAAAGGTCAGAGGGATTGAGGCATCCAGTTTATGTGACATTTCCTTGATATGGAGTTGGACTAGCAGAACCATGAGGCTACTTGGGTTCAGAGTAAAAGCAAAAAATTCCAGATGGTAATGATGAGTCAGTCACACAGGTGTTTATTGTAATTCAAATGCTATAACTGCTTTGCCAGACTAACCTAAGCATAATCATAGGAAGCACTAGTAGTAATGGAGACTTTTTAATTGAGAAATTGATTCTAAATGTAATCAAATAACAACCAATGTTGTTGTTGTTAAGTGTCGTGGAGTCGGTTCTGACTCATAGTGACCCTGCTCAGAGCTTCCAAGGCTGTAAATCTTTACAGGAGCAGAAAGTCTCATCTTTCTCCTGCAGAAAGGCTCGTAGTTTCAAACTGCAGACCTTGAGGTCAGCAGTCCAATTTGTAACCACTATGCTACCAGAGCTCCTTAACAACCAATTATTGTTGTTGTTGTTAAGTGCCATCGAGTCGGTTCCGACCCTTAACAACCCTAGATAGGGTTTCTGAGGAGCAGCTGGTGAGCTTGAGCCGCCGACCTAACAGTTCAAATGGCTTTGCAGTCTGGCCAATTAACCCACAGCACAACACCAGGACTCCTAACAACCAATAGCAGTATATTAAGACTTAATGGATGACATAATTGAGAATCTGCTTATTCTCTTACCTGTTTTAGTTTTTTCCTTTTCTCCTTTAGAGGCAAACTATTGTTTTTAATAATATTCTCTAAAAGTTCTGCAATTGCAGCTTGAGAGGTAGAAATTTTTTGTTTATCAAACTCTTCTGCACTAATCTGCTTACAATATGTATAAGTTGGCAACGGAGTAATCAATCCATCTCCAGGAATTTGAATCTGTAATAAACACAATAATACAATACAAATCTGCTAATTCTGGTCATGCTCTTATTTGATTAAGTATTCTTTTGGTGGAATGTAGCAACTATTATTTGCTACCAACCAAATGCTCAGTACACTAAGAAAATGATATATTATATAGCATTTGTTAAGTGTCATCAAGTTGGTTCCGGCACATAGAGACCCTGTTTAGGGTTTCCAAGGAGCAGCTGGCGGGTTTAAAACACTGACCTTGTGGTTAGCAATCCAGTGCTTATCTTACAGTATCACATCAATAAATCAGTAGTATCTAAATCTTAACTCCACAATTTACTACTAGATACTATTAGCTTTGTAAGTCTTCAACAAGCTTTTAAACTATTTCCTTGTCTGAAAAATGAGGATAACATGAGATAATATATAAGGTAAGAAACATGAAAACATATGCTGGACAGCCAAAGACTGAGTATAGCCGACATACATTGGTTGGTTACTCAGCATTCCATCTTTTAACAGTTTCTCCCCATTCTCCTTCCATTAGCATCATCACTTTCTTTGAAGAACAGATTCTCTTTAAATCTATGTACATCGACGGGACCTCCAATCAGAGTATGTTCCTCTCTCCATTCACCCTCAACCACTCAAAGGATGAGCATTTAACCCAGATTGGGTCGAGAGCCCAAATTAGGACCTTTTAAAATTAGAGGTGAAAGGGTGGTTTAGGTGAAAGGGTGGTTTTCTTTTCCTTTGCATTGCAAATGTTAAGTTGGTGATTCAGGAGCTATTTGCAGCCATATTCCCCACCACATAAAGGAACAATTTATCAAGCACAAAATCAAAATGGAAAAAGATAGAAAGATGGAAACAGAGCTCCCAAATTGTCTAGTTTTTACTTTTTAGAGGTGGTTTTTGTGAGCTGATAAAGTTCCTCTTTTGATTAGGGTATTTTTGAGATGAGTTTCCTTCTACATGCAATTGACTAATGCAGAGCATTTCAATACATATAATACCTACATGACCCTTCCTTAAGCAGTCAAGATGTTTCTCCACTGCACTCTGTAAGTAAGAGGGTACTTGAAGAATTTCCTGATGATGATCCATTAAGAAAGAAACTAATCTTGCAGCCAGCAGCTCATCAAGATCTACTTCTTCCGCACAGCATAGCACACACCGAGAAAATGTATGCATCATCTAGAAACATATTAAAAGATGTGAATTTAAAGCCTAACATTTCATACACAGAAACATTAGGTTTTATCAGAATATCAGTAATTTCAGATAGCATTATGTATAAGCACTGAGATAAAGTGATAAGCAGATTTCAGCGTACAATGAGGCCAATAATTCATTATAGTTTGAATGTCTGTTATGCTTAAATCCTTTTGAAATAACTTGTTAAGTATTTTCTTAATATAATTCCAAAAGATTATATAAAGTCTTGTGGGCTTTTCTTCAAGTTTTTCACAATTTTATCAGACTTTTTTTAATACCATAAGTTCCTTAAGTTTGTTAAAGAACAATAGAATTCATTAATCTCACAAAACGAAAAGCCAGGGAATATATAATATACAGAACACATACTCATCAGTGATTGCAAAGCATTTTGAAACTCTGGAAATTAGCTTTTACTGCTTATTCTACCAGCTTTTAAATAGCGATACATAATATATACATGGTTTAATTCCATCATAAGGAAACTTCAAATTCCAGGGTAAATTTTGTGTTTCAATACTCATTTGTTCACTTATACTCATATAACCCACTAAACACACATTCATACAAAAATAGTCAGAATATTAGATATTTAGTCTCTTTCTAAGACTCAATCTTCAACTTTCACTTAGTTCTTCTTAGTCTTGGTGAGCTCATCTAGTCTCATAAGATCAGCAACTACCTCTACATGGATGATTAAAAAAATCTGCCTTCTTCCCCAGGCTCACATTTCCAATATTGTTAGGAAAATTTTACTTAGAACCTTCGACAAATTGAAGCTATAATTTGAGGAAGTATCAGCTCTAAAAATAAAAACAAAAACGAAACCCAAGAGATCAGAGAAACTATTTCAAGGTTTAATTTCCAATAATAATCTACACATATAAGGGTAAGTAAAAAAGTACTGCTATAAAATCATACAAAACTTTATTAAAAATATGAAGCTATTGTTTTTTCGACATATCTTCCATCCAGGTCGACATACTTCTGAAGGTAGTGCTCCCATCTCTCTAAACCCCGCCCCCCCACTGAAGAATTCTGAGCTCTTTGATCTATACCACATCAAAATGGCAGTTTTGGCAAATTCAAAAAGGACTTCAGTCACATTCCTTTAAAACGCTCTTTGAGTTTAAGAAACAAAAACAAGTCTGATGGGGCAAGATCAGGGATGTAGGGTGGATGGGGTGAGGTTTCCTAATAAAATTCTCAAAGGGTAGCCCTTGCTAGTTGCATAGAATGAAAAAGCTAATTGCTGTGATAGTTAAAAAGTTCAGTATAACTTTCCTGGCTGTTTGCTTATCAATTTTCATCAAATTTCTTCATAATAAACCTCCATGATCATTCAGGATCCTTTGTAAAATTGGATAAAGATTGCCTCTTTGGAATTCTAAACACCAGTCGCCAAAACCTTCTGACCTGACCTTTCTGCCTTGAATTTAAGGGCCCAGAAGATCCCCTTAAAGCCACTGTCTTGATTGGAGTTTTATTGAAGGAAAAGAGACTAAGACCAGAGAGAACATGTTTGCAGCCATTCAATGATCACAGAGACATGTTTAAACATGTTTTGTTTGTAACAAACCTGTACAGGTACCAGTATGAACTAGAACCCTAGTAGTAGTACTTTTTAGCAAATCCTTGTAAATGCTTCCACTCTTATCCTTACTTGGGAGCTTGAGACTACTTGAGACTCCTATCTCTCAATGCTTTGCCCAGTGACCTGCTATTCATAATCAAATACAACTTTACTATTGCCACACTCTTTGAAACAATTTGATTTATGGTATGTGAATTTCACATTACATGGTGTGGCACTGTGGGTTAATGTGCTGGACTGCAAGGTCGGTTTGAACCGCAAGACCAGCCACTCCTCGGAAACCCTATACATGATTGCTGTGAGTCAGAACCAACTTGATGGTACTTAACAACAAATCTAATTCTGGCGTGGTGCTGTAGGATCAGCACTGGACTGAGAACCACAAGGTTGGCAGTGCAAACCCGCCAGCTATTCCTCGGAAATACCATATAGGGTCACTATGAGCCAGAATGGACTACACGGCACATAACAACAACAAAATATACTTCCATAGAATAATGTTGTTGTTGTTGCTAAGTGTCGTCAAGTTGGTTTGGGCTCATAGTAACCCAATATAGGTTTCTGAGGTTGTAGATCTTTAAAGCTTCAACTTTCTCCTATGGAGTGGCTGGTGGGTTTGAACTGCTCATCTCATACTTTTGTTGTTGTTGTTAAGTGCTGTCAAGTCAATTCCGACCCAGAGCAACCCTGTATAGGGTTTCCGAGGAGAAGCTGGTGAGCTTGAACCGCTGACCTCGCAGTTCAAATGGCTTTTTAGTCTGGCACATTAACCCACTGAGCCACATACGTTGTTGTGGAGTGCCATCGTTTCTGACCCATGGCAACCCTGTATAGGGTTTCGAGGACTGGTGAGTTTGAACAGATGACCTTACAGCTCACGGTGACTTTACAGTCTGGCGCATTAATCCACAAGGCTACACCAGAACTAATATCAACCTCTAAATTTTCAATGCCTACACATCACTTCTTCTCTTCCCACCTAACAGAACACTAGCACAAGACAATATACTGTGGTCTGATAGAATAAGTAAACCATTGTGAAGTTATAAAGGATAAGTGAAGAGGCAAAGTCGAAGGTTAAGATAAAGACCAAGATGTGAAACTTTAGCATAATAGGAACGATAGTGAAAATACAGACTTTAAGACCAAAACATCACTTGTTGTTGTTGGTAAGTGCCATCGAGTCGGTTCCAACCCATAGCGACCCAGTACAGGGTTTCCGAGGGTGTAAATCTTTACGGGAGTAGAAAGCCTCATCTTTCTCCCGCGGAGCGGCTGGTAGTTTCGAACCGCTGACCTTAAGGTTCGCAGCCCGATTCGTAACCACTACGCTACCAGAGCTCCTTAAAACATCACTAGCACAGTATTTTAAACGGGTTTCTTTTGTTTTATTAGTAACGACTTATAGAGATGCTCTGAGTAGGAATTGACTTGACAGCAGTGGGTTAGGTTGTTTGGGTATCTTTTCTTTAGAAAATAAACTTACCAGTGATCTTGTACCCATTGCATCATGGAGTTTGGGCATATCAACATTTTGACTCATTCGAGAAATCATTCGCATTAAAAGTTGAAGTTTTCTACGATTTGGTGGGGGAAGCAACAAGCAACACAATTGTAGAGCATCAATGGCAACCCTTTCTAAATGAGGCTGCAGCAAACCTAGAAGGGAAAGTTACCAAAAACAAGAGCAACAATAAAACACAAAACAAACATCAGTGTCACTAATTCAAACTACAAGTATATACAGCTAGCACATAAAGAAGGCAAATTATAGAAGACACAATGAAGAAGGCAATATGTTTTAGGATTGCATTTCTTTTGACTATTTCTATACTTAAGATTAAATAATAATGAAATCATTATTTTCTTTACAACCTACTTCTCAGTGGTCATGTCCTTCCCTTATTACAAATAAAGTGATTCAGAAAAAGTGAAATTGAAGGGAAAGAAGTAAGTGCTTTTAGGTAAATAAAATAAATCTTGTCATTACATGAAAAATGACACTTTGCTTTTGAAGGAAAAACAAAAAAGAGCAATTCAGAGAAGAAAAGCCAGGTAAGTAAGCACAGGATTAGTAACATTACATGCATCGAAAGCTTCAACCTTACTTTGTGTGCCAGTCAACATAGAAGTTGGAGAAAAGGAATTTTCTGAAAGTGTTATTGTACTTTTGCAGAGTCTTTTATTGAATGTGGTAGACTCTCCAGGTTGACTTTTCACAGCTGTTTGTACACTTGAGCTGATTTGTCCAAAATGAGTGATATGATTTGGTTTAATGGTAATTTCAGCCACTGGTGTATTCATGTAACTATTCTTTCTTGCACTACTTCTTAAAAGCAAACTCTGAGATCTACAAAGCTGCTTTGGTTTGCATTTCCCATTAGATAACTCTTCTTGGTCCTGAACAGTGGAAGTAGAGGTTCTCTTAAAACCAACAGAGACTGGTTTTTGAATAATTTCTTTTGAGTGATGATTCAATAAGGGCTTGGATTCTAAAAATTGTTTATTATTTTGTATTTCTATATTAGAAACAGATTGACAGAAGACACTGGAGACCTCTTTACTTGAATTGTCTGGTATATCTACAATGCCTTCCAAAGAGTAGCACCTTGATTTGATGTTAGAAGACTGAGCATGCATATTATTTAAGCCTATTAAATTATGACAACTTCCTCCCATTATGTCATTAGCACTGGCTCTTCTGTTTCTTAAATTTACTAGCTGGGTTTTCTTAGCAGATCTTTCTTGAAATCCTGGATCACTTATCTGTAGTTTCTCAGTAGAATCTGATTCCTCCTTGTTTTTGTCTTTATGAAGCAGACTGAGAAGAAGACACTCAGTTGATTTGAAGGAATTCAAATTGTTTACGTGAAGGATTTTTGAAGACTGTGGATCATCTTGGATTTTATGTATCCCATTGGGTCTATTTGAAACTGTGACGTAGCCACAAACAACTACCAGAAAATGAAACAAACAAAAAAAAAACAGATGCAACTGTGTGATAGTGGACAAAAATAAAACAATAGTAAAGTAACAAAATAAGCATCACTAAAGTATATTTTGTTAGTAAAGTACAAATAGCAGTTGTTTAATTCAGAAGCCACTTAAATAAAACACATGCAACAAACATTCAGTTTATAAACGTGCAAGACTGATTAGAAGTTTTCCCATTTATTGTAATACAAGATAAATGTATTGTTGACATAATTTGAAAATTATTTCAATAGTACATTAAATGCATTATACCAGAATACATTAAATATATTAAATGCATCTTGTCTCAGACTACAGTATTAGATAACTCTTAAGTATAAGATAACACTATATCAATGAATCTAAAAGTGGTTCTGTCATTTTTATATTTACCTCTAATTCTAGACCTTATAATTATAAGAAGCTTGGAAACTTTAAATGAAAAATAAAAATCCATACATACCCAAAATATTCACAAATAATTCGTAATATTCAAAGGTAAGTAGAGGTTCAGGGAGATCTAGAAAATAATCTGCAATTGTTCTGAATACATCTCTTTCAAATCCAACGTAAGTTGGATTATTCATATCATTACTTCTTGGCCCTAAGAAATAAAAGGCAAAACAACATAGGCAGGAAATATATATGTATGTATATATATAAATTGTGTTGTTGTTAGGTGTTGTAGAGTTGATTCTGACTCATAGACTGTATATAGAGTTTCTGAGGGTTTTTAAATCTTTGTGGAAGCAGAAAGTCTCACCTTTCTTCTAAGCAGTGGCTGGCAGGATCAAACCACAGACCATGTGGTTCACAGTCCAGCAGCATATGGAGCCACCACACTCCAGTCTATGTCTCTATCTGTATAGGATGCTATTGCTCTATCATGATGTTATTGACTAGTTTTGACTCATAGCAACCTTGCCTAGGGTTTCCAAGGAGAGGCTAGTGAGTTTGATTTACTGACCTTTTGGTTAGCTGTTTATCCTACAGCACCATACCAGGACGTCATATATACATTTGTTGTTGTTGGTAAGTGCTGTTCAGTCAGTTCTGACTCTGTATTGGTTTTCCAAAGAGCAGCTTGTGGGTTTGAACTGCCGACCTTGTGGATTGTGGTCCAGTGCTTATCCTACAGCACCACACCAGGAGTCCCCATATATACATAGATAGATATCCAAACCAAAACCTGTCAATTCGAGTCTGACTCTTAACAACCCTATAGGATAGACTAGAACTGCTCCATTGGGTTTCTGAGGCTGTAATACTTTACAGAGCAGATTGCCTCATTTTTCTCCTTTGGAGAGCCTGGTGGGCTTGAACTGCTGACCTTATGGTTAGCAGAACAACACTTAGCCCATGGTGTCACCAGGGCTCCTATTCTTAATACTAAATATTAATACAAAATATCTCTGAGTAAATAACACATTGTTGTTAAGTTGGAATCCAATAAATGATGTATTTGGTGTCATAGAAGTAACATGGACTGGAAAGATAGGGACAATACAATCCCTAAAGAAGGGACATTATAAAAATACCTTCAAGTATACCTATCTTAGTTACTAACAAGGAGCCAAGGCATGAGAGAGACGGCTAGGTAGGTAGAAAACACATTAAAACAACAATAACAAAAACTGTCATCAATATTAACTTTATGATCAAGATCTTTAACTTGATTTGATAAAATATCTATAACTTATTCTTTTTAATTATTATTTACTTATTTTATCATATTGTTACCCAGTGAACAACAAAGGAGCATACACTTACCCTGAGCATTAATGAATTACATTATACTTTTAAAATTATTCATTTTGTAAGAACCTGAAAAAAATGCTTTTACATCAAGATTATTGAATGTAATTTAACCTTTGGTGATTTAGAAGCATATACCTTTGCATAATTTTTTAAAAGGTAATTAAGGTTACATATTTGAATGATGGTATTAGATTATAAAACTCAATTATGACTGATCATTGTAGAAAAATTTGATCCATGAAGTGCTCAAAAATGATATGCTGATGAGTGACAAATTACTTTTTTTCATAAACATAAAAGTCCCAGTATGGAGTATTTATTATCATGGAGTAGAAGAATGTTATAAAGCACCTGCATATTGAAGGTTTGTACAACGGCAAAAGTGGTTTTATGGGACTTCATTTCTGACTGAATTTTTTCCACTTATAAGTTCTTACTTTGGATGACATTTAGTCACTTTGGATCGTGTTGAGGCAATTGGCATAGATTATACCTTACAAACCCTGAGATCTTACAGCCTAGGATTTTATGATTTGTTCCATATGACTTATGAATGATGAGCTTAAATTATTCAATTCACTTGTGCATAGAAAATCAAGGGCCTCACAACACATTCCAAATACAAAGAAATATGAAATAAGAGTAGCTCTACTGATTTTCGCTTAACCGATAAGAGAAATGGCTTAATATTATCAGGACTTCTTAAATTATTTTACAATTTTTCTTGGTTTCTTTTGAATATTATCAACATAAAACATTTCTTCGTTTAACTTACAATTTGCTAGGCACTTCATGGCAGATAATACCCAGTGAGGAAGGTCATCTATACAAAAAAAAAAAGAACATTTCCAAGTAAATCACATAATTACTGTATGGTTAATATGATTATAGAATGAAATCTATTTAAAAATATATCTTAAATATTTTAAATGATAGAGATGCAAGAATTTGACTCTTTCTACAATATTTAAAACAACTATATGAAAATCAGGTATGAATTTGTGGTGGGTTTAGAAATCAACTCCTAAATTCAACTTTACCCAGTAGTATCACCTTCACTTCACCTGTTTCTGTTCTACCTGTAATATGCCATTTGAATATGACCGATTTGGGAAAAACCTGTGAGCTACATCTGAATATTAGGTGCCTGACTGGGGCCAATGGTTGGCACTTGACTACTAACCTACTGATAGGTGTTTCAAACTCATCCAGCAGCATTGCAAAAGTAAAGGCCTGGTAATCTGCTTTCATAAAGATTACAGCCATGAAAATGCTATGGAGAAGATCTGTTACACATGGGGTGGGTCACCATGAGTCAAAATTGACTTGGCAGTCATATATTTGGTTTTGGTTTGTTTAATAGCGAGGCTAGCTTAGTCATTTAATTCCACTAACTGAAATATGCTGCATAAAATTAGCTATTTTTGACACAAGCACAAAAATACCACTCACATTTGACTTGAAAAGTATATGGTTAGAAAGAGTAGAAACTTGGATGAGAGTATATACTAGTAAGTATGCTATCTTAGGTAATGAAAGACTGGTCCAAAGCCACATGCACAAACATCATAAATTCATCAAAACATATAAGGTTTTTTATTTTGCTCCTTTAATGGAACCTCAGAGTTCTTGCCCAAAGAAACCCAAGTAATGCGTGCTAGTTAATTGTATAAATAGCAATTTGCTACAAATAATGAGCCAACATTTTGAAAATGTATTTATTGATACACTTATTTACAATCAAAAGTTTTCTCATGCATTTCTTTCTTCAAGACAGATTTGTTTGTTCTTGGCAGGCCTCAGCACTTTCAATACACTCTCCAAACCCTTAATTCAAATGCATAGATTTTTCTCTTGTCTTCCTTATCCAACTTTCACATGCATATTAGGCTATTGAAAACATTATTGCTTGGGTTAGGCATACCTTAGTCCTCAAACTGACATCTTTGAAAAGGTCTTTTGCAGCAGTTTTGCCTAATGCAGTATGTCCTTCGGATTTTTGACTGATGCTTCCTTGAATGTTGATTGTGGATCCAAGGAAAATGAAATCTCAGAAAACTTCAATTTTTACTCCATTTATCATGAAGTTACTTACTGGGCCAGTTGTGAGAATATTTGTTTTCTTTACATTCAGATGCTGAAAGTTGTAGTCTTTGATTATCATCAAAAGTATTTTAAACCCTCTTCAACTGCAGCAAACAAGGTTACTAATGAGTTTTCCTATAATCCTGATGTAACATTCTTCATATAATCCAGCTTCTCATATTACTTGCTAAACATACAGAATGAATAAGTCACGGATGGTCTGTTCCATAGTCAGTCCTGACCTTGTTTTGGCTGAACACATTGAGCAAGACCATCATCTCTTTCAACATTTGTAGTCAGTTTGATTCCTATATATTCCATCTGGTGAAGTTCACATGTAGTCGCCTTTTATGTTATTTTAAAAAGGATATCTGCAATGAATAAATCGTTGGTCTTGCAAAGTTTTATTATGGGATTTCTAGCAAGGCATATTTTCCAAGTATTGATCCTCTTTGTTTCCAACTTTGGCATTCCAATCGTCAGTAATTATCAATGCACTTTAATGCATGTCTGATCAATTTCTGACTGAAGAAGTTGGTAGAATTCTTCAATTTCATCATCAGTTTTGTGGGTGGTGTGTAATTGAATAATAGCCACATTAACTGGTTTTCCTTGTTTTTTGTTGTTGGGTGCCATTTCACAGTGACCCTATGTACAACTGAATGAAACAATGCGTGGTCCTGTGGCATTCTCAGTTGTTATGTTTGATCCCACTTGCTATTGCCACTGTACCAATCCATCTCCTTGGGGGTTAATTCCTCTTTTTTTGCTGATCCTCTTCTTTACCAAGTATGATGTCTTTCTCCCAGGACTGGTTCCTCCTGATAATATGTCAAAAGTATGAGAGATTATTCTTGCCATTCTGACATCAAAGGAGAATTCTGGCTGTACTTCTTTTAACACAGATTTGTTTGTTCTTCTGGCAGTCCATAGTACTTTTAATATTTGTCATCAACACCGTAACTCAAATGCATCAGTTCTCCTTATTCACTGTCTAACACGCATATGAGACTATTGAAAATATCATGCCTTGGGCCAGTCGCACCTTAGTCCTCAAAGTAACATCTTTGCTCTTGAACATTTAGAGATCTTGTGCAGCAGATTTGTCTAATGCAACACATTGATTTCTTGTGTGCTGTTTCAATAGAGTGTTGATAGTGGTTCCAAGCAAAATGAAGTCTTTGATAACTTCAATTTTTTCATCATTTATCATGATATGATTTATTAGTCTAGTGATGAGGATTTTTGTTTTCTTTATATTGAAGTACAACTCATAAGAGTGTAAACTTCATCAGTAAGAATTTTAAGTCTACTTCACTTCCAGCAAAAAACGTAGTATCATCAGCATCTTTCAGGTTATTAATGAGTTTTCCTCCACTCATGATACCACGTTCTTCTTCATATAATCCAGCTTCATGGATTATTTGCTCAGCATACAAAATGAATGCGTATGGTGAAAGAATACAATCCTGGCACACACCTTTCTTGATTTTAACGCATTCAGTGTTCCCTGGTTCTGTCAGAAAGACTCTCCTTGGTCATGAGCACAATTCTGATGAGCACAATTCTGGAATACTCACTCTCCACACTATTAAAAGCCTTTGCATAGTCAAGAAAGCACAGGTAAACATCTTTTTGATAGTCTCTGCTTTCATCCAAGATCCATCTGATGTCAGTAATGATATCCTTCATTTCATGTCCGCATCTGAATTTTGCTTGATCTCTGGCAGTTCCCTGTCAATGTAGTTTTGCAACCATTTCTGAACTCCCTTTTGCAAAATTTTATTTGCATGTGATATTAATGATATTATCTGATGATTTTCGTATTCTGTTTGGTCACCATTCTTCGGAATGGACACAAATAAAAATCTCTTTCAATCAGTTGGCTAGGTAGCTGTCTTCCAAATTTCTGTGCAGATGAGTGAGTGCTGCCATCAGTGCTACATCTTACTTGTAGGTATTAGAAATTATCCTGTCTCAGACAGCATGCATTTCAAGATAGGTCTTGAAATGTTCTTTTTAACAATGAATGTGATGCCATTCCTCTGCATTTTGAAGTTCCTGGCACAGTAAACTGTATGATTGACACAAAATGGCAAATACCAGCCTATTTTAGGTAACTAAAGTCTAGTATATTTTACGTTACTAAAGTCTAGATCTTCATATGCTCCAGTTCATTTTTGACAACTTCCAGTTTTCTTAGATTCATATTCAGTGCATTCCATGTTTGAATTATTAATTAATGTTTGTAGCTGTTTCTCTTCATTTTGAGTTGTGCCTCAGCAGCCAATGAAGGTCCTGAAAACTTTGTTCCATTCACATCACTACTGTCAACTTTACTTTGAGGAAGCAGCTATTCCCTAGGTCATATTTTGATCCACTTCCAACTAAGAGGCTCATCTTCTGGCACTGTATATGACAATGTTCTGCTACTATTAAAAGAAAAAAAAAATGTTTTCATCTTTTGACACTGTATCTGACAATGTTCTGCTGCTATTCTGCCTCTCCTTCCTAGTCTATTTCAGTCTGAAAACTCTGCTGAAAGCTGTCCACAGTGGCTGACCCTGCTGGCATTTCAAATCGTGGTGGCATTTATTTCAGTATCACAGCAACATGCAAGGCACCACAGCACTACAAACTGTCAGATGATTGGTGGTAATACATTATAAACCTATAAAAAGACCCCCCCAAAAAATAACAACAAACAACCAAACCTACTGCTGGTGCATCTATTTAGATTCAGAGACCCTATTAAACAGGGTCCATAAAGTTTCTAAGACTGCAGTCTTTATAGAAGTGGACTACCCTATCTTGTTCCAACAGAAAGTTCAAATCACCCACTTTTTGGTTAGCAGTCTATTTGAAGTAGTAAGTCATCTGAGTTCCCATATAACTACACATAACACCAAAAAGCTAGTGTCCATCAGAATATTTTCTGTTACAGAATTCAGCTTGCATCTTTCTATTGTCACTATATATGCAACCCTTTTTGTTGTTTGTGTGTATGTTTAATGTGTTTTTGAGTTGGTTCTGACTCATAGTGAGCCTGTATAGGGTTTCTAAAGTGTAGCTGGTGGGTTTGAACTGCCAATCTTGAGGCAACCCTTGTTAACAAGTTTTAAAAGATTATGATTTCTTTTCTTATGAAGCTTAGTTATACTAACCTGATTTGTCTTGTAGTATAACTACTCCATGTTTATTTGTATTGGTCATGTTGTACATTATATACTGAGGAATTACTTGTCTTGGATTTATGACTTCTTCTAGGGATGAGACACCTAAAATCGTTTGCAGGCTAAATAAAAGAAAGAACAAATAAACAGTTACCCCCATAAAATACAAATATAAAATATATGACTTGAAGACAAGCAAATACAGAATCTTTCTTTCTTTCTTTTTTTTTTTTTTTTTTTTAACCCAAACTGCTAAGTCTTGTACTTAGTACCCATTTCCAAATATATCTAGTTCAATACTTGTCTAAATTCAGTATGGAGTCTTGTACAGCCATGACTTTGAGAAAAATTAAAAGCAAAAAATGTGGAAAGCATTCTATTTCTGCTGTACTAGATAGAGCTATAACAAGAACATTTATAAAGAAACATGTGCAAACTAAATTCTATGTTTTTAGGACTAATCTGTTCTTTCTCATAAGCCTAATTTGATGTACATGTCCAAGTAATAATCTAAACATCTGAGGAACTTGCTTATAGCTTAGTTTTTGCTTGTTGTTTAGTGCCAGCGAGTTGGTCCTGACACACAGCGACCCTGTATGGGGTTTCCGAGGAGTGGCTGGTGGGTTTGAATTGCCAACTTTGTGGTTAGCAGTTCAGTACTTCTCCTACAGCACCACACCAGGAGTCCACACCAGTAACTCTTCTTTCTCATTAGCCTATTTGGATAAAAATGTCAAATTAAGAATCTAAACACCTCAGGAACTTGGTCACAGCTTAGTTTTAGCTTACTGGATCAGAATAACATATCTCCAAACTTCTTCAACATCTTCTTGTTTTATTTCTTTGCTACCAACTGAGTTTTCTTGGTCTTCATCAATTACTTCACACTTTATTTCCTCTGTATTTTCCTGAAAAAGAATTGTCTTGATTTAATTGTTGTCGGTAAGTGTCTTCGAGCTAGTTCCAACCCATAGAGACCCTGTATAGGGTTTCCAAGGAGCACCTGGTGACCTTAAACCACCAACCTTGCAGTTCAAACCGACTTTTCAGTCCTGCGCAAAATATTGAACAAATATCACTCCCAATATTTATTTAGTAATTCTGTCAATATCAGTCCTATGTGGAGTTACAAGGTTTAAGTGTCACTTGAAGAAATATCAATATGGTAATAAGAGATTTTGGTTTTCTAGCTGTCCCCGAATCCCTGATTTTAAACAATATAAGCTTAAATTATATAATTATTGTCTCAAGTAAACCTCACTACCATTTTCATTATCAACCATTAGGGTTCCAAACAAATTTCCACAAGAATTTTTAAATGCAATATAGGTTGGGAGGCTTTAGTATTGGCTTTAAATGTTAAAGAAACATTTAAGTCATTCTATTACTGACCACATGATAATTACATTTAATCACTAGTAAAAGAGAAAGTTTTACCTGAGAGGAATGTAATCCATGCTTTTTAGGAGTTCTACGAGATAAGTTTCGGAATTTAAAAACATTCTCTTTATCTTTTGAAATGTTCTCTAGGCTGTTTTTTCTCAATTCTGGATGCCTTCTTGGAAGAGCTTTAAGTGGAGAAGTTGTAGGAAATCTAGTTTAAAAATATTATGAAATTAAATAATAAGAGATCAGAAACAAACTTTTAGAGCTAATTTATTAAAAAGCACTACGGACCGAGTTTACAATAACAAAAAAAGAACATACTACACAAATTGATTTTCCCATTAAATCTTGCTAAGCAATTTTAACATTCCCCCCTTTCTTTACTACATTGTACACATTTTAACTTTATTTTTGGATTATTGCTGTTAAGCGCTGTTGAATCAAGTCTGACTCTCCTGGACTCCATGTGAGTAGAACTGCCTAGATTTCTTAGGACTCCTGGTATGGCACTATACGATAAGCAATGGACTATTAACCAAAAGGCCTACTGTACAAACTCACCAGCTGCTCCTTGGAAACCCTATCTAAGGTTGCAATGAGACACACTGACTTGTCAGCACTTAACAACAATCTGTACAGAAGTAGGTCATCAAATGTTTACTCCCTGGAGCCTCTGGGTGGGTTCAAACCTCTTGGTTAGTAGTTGAACCCGTAACCTTTGTACCACCAGGGCGCCTTTATTTCTGGACAACTCAAGGGTTATTAGGATCAGCTCTATTGGAGAGCTACTGTTTGGATACAAAATAGCTCTATAGTGCTACATTTTCCCAATTCGTTTAACGGACTACTTAATTTGTACATATTTTCTGCCCTTTGACTGATTGCTGTCAAGCCCAGGCTCCTGCTGATGATACTATTTTTTCTTCCATTTCATTATGAAATATGCATCAAAGTATACAGAATACAAATCAACATTCACATTTGTAACCATTGTTGTTAAGTGCTGTTAAGTCACTTCTGACTCATGGAGACAATGTATAAGGTTTTTAAGGCCTGTAAATCTTTGCAGGAGCAGAAAGGCTCATCTGTTTTCCTCAGAGCAGTTGGTGGACTTGAACCACTGATTTTATGTTTAGCAACCCAGTGTTTATCCTACAGGGCCACAGCGCTTTATTGTTAGGTGCCATCAAGTGGGTTCCAACTCATAGCGACCCTATATAGGGTGTCCAAGCAGCATCTGGTGGGTTTGAATCACCCCTTGGGTTTCAAATTGACCTTTTGGTCCAGTGATTATTCTATAGCACACATCAGGATTCCTATGTAAAAATAAACCAGGGCAATTGTTAACATTTTGCCATAGACTCTATTGTTTTTTTGAATGAAAGAAAACAAACTAGATTGAAGTTCCCTAGTATTTTTTGCTTATTCCATTTCTTCTCCTCTCTTCCTAAGGTAAATATATTATAGTTAATATATTTTCTTCTGGTCCATGTTTTTATACTTTTAGTGTATATATAAGCAAGATATGGCTTGATATTTTTGGTATCATTTATGATACACTAAATATAAACATATGCTTTAGTATCCTTATAAGATCTTTCTTACCTTAATGTCATAAAATATTGTTTTCCCTTAAGAGTTCTTTTTTCTAATTATGTATTTAAGCTACGTATAATTTATTTTTGTGGCACAGAGCAAGATCTGATTTTATTCTTTTGCTTATAGAGACTTAATTGTCTAAACACATCTATTAAACAAGCTTTCATTTACAACTTGATTTGTGAAGGTATATCGGCTTTACATTATAACTCCCATATATGTATGCATTCATTTTTTCCTAATACTTAAATGTTTCATTTCAGCCCATATATCAGTAAGGCAATTCTTACTTGTCCCCTCCTTGTTCTTTAAAAGTACCTTGGGCCTTTATATCTGCAAATGAATTTTAGAATCTATGGTTAAAATCTACAAGAAATTATATGAAGGATTTGAATGAAATGCACTAAATGATACATTAATTTGGGAAGACTTTACTAACTCCTCTCAGTCATTTTTTCCATGTATTTCCTTCCATAAAATTGTATAATTTTCCATAATAAGGAAGGACCTGCATATTGTCAGGAAACTTTATTTCTAGGTACTTTACAGCTTTTTTATCATTGTAAAAGACTAGAGTCAGAGACTACTTGTGGAATTATTGCAGAAACCCAGGTGAGAGAATAATGACCTAAAAAAAGAGAACATTTATAAGTGGCCAGATTAGAGAATTAGGCAATATGATCTGATGATTCTATTTAAAAGGGAAAGAAAAAGAAAACAAAAATCAAAACCCCAAACCAAAGAAACAACAGGGAAGCAAGTACCATTCCCTTGTAAGGAATGTAAGTGTGATTTAGGTTAGGAGAAGAGAGTTTTTTTATTCCTGGGAGGGTGCTCTAGGATCAGCACTGGATTTCAAACCACAAGGTCAGCAGTTCAAACCCACTAGCTGCTCCTTGGAAATCCTAACGTACAGTCACTCTGAGTTGGAATCCACTCGGAGGCACTTAACATTTGAAGCACCTGTCTAGTAGACAATTTAATAAATGCCTCTAAAGCTCAGGAGAGTTATTTGTGTTAGAGATTTGGAAGTCATAGGAAAAGCAGATAAAGGCTTGTTATGTGATTGCCTAGGGACAGAGATAAGGTGGACAAGTCCAGGATGTTAAGGACCAGTAATAGAGTTGTTGTTGTTGTTAAGTGCCATCGAGTCGATTCCGACCCATAGCGACCCTGTATGGGGTTTCCAAGGAGAAGCTGGTGAGCTTGAACCACTGACCTTGTAGTTCAAACGACTTTGCAGTCTGACGCATTAGCCCACAGCACCACACCAGGACTCCAAGAAATAGGGTAGAGGAGTATAGGAGCCCACAAAGGTGACAGAAGAGTAGTTAAGAGAGGAAAGCTTTATAAAGTGTTAAACAAAACAGACTTCATGTTTGTTATAGCAGTTTACTTATATGGCATAAATCATTTCTGGCACATAAGCAAGAATCAATTTCTGAGACATTTCAATTCAAAGCTAGTAATGTCAAAAAAAAAAGTATTGGCATACAAATCCAAAGACCTAGTTGAATGGATATGTAGCAAATAATAGTGGGTAGATTAGAAAGAAAAAGGAGTTAAATTGGCTTGAGAGTCAGAAATGCTGCACAAAGTCTTCGATGGGAGCTGAGATTAGAATAAAAGTATATAAATTTGCCATCCTGACAGATGTGTTCAGTATTTCAACATGGAAGAATATTTCAAACAGAGGGAGCAAGATTTGTTGAAGCATGGCCTCAGTTCCCTTATTTGTTGTTAGGTGCCATCGAGTCGGCACCGACCCACAGCAACCTTATGCACAGCAGAAATGAAACACTGCACGATCTGTAAAAGGGATTCATTTTTAATTCTACTTAGTTAGTCTAGGGTTTAAATAAGAAAGTATCTAAATCATAAAGTAAACTTTCTGGCACATGCTAACAGCTTAATAAATATTCTCTAAACCCTGTGGTGAGGAATCCAGAGTGGTGCTGTAGAATAAGCACTAGACCACAAGGTTGGTTTGAATCCCAAGGTCAGCAGTTTAAATTCACTAGACGCTCCTCAGAGACCCTATACAGCGTGGCTATGAGTTGGAATGGACTAAACATCCCTTAACAACAATAACAAACCCTGTGATGGAGTCCTGGTATGGTGCTGTAGGATAAGCACGCGACTGCTAACCAAAAGGTTGACAGTTCAAGCCTTCCAGTTGCTCCTCAGAAAACCTATAGTCACTGAGTTGGAACCAACGTGCCAGCACTTAACAACTAATCCTGTAGTACATTTCTTCTGTTATTTATTATAGAAAGCTTACTATTAATTATCGTGTCATATATAATCTTAGATTATATGTTATGCAAGGGTTGTTGTTCTTGTTAGGTGCCATCGAGTCAGTGCCGACTCATAACGACCTTATGCACAGCAGAACGAAACACTGCCCAATCCTGGGCCAACCTCACTATCGTTGCCACGCTTGAGCTCATTGATGATGCCACTTTGCCAATCCATCTCACTGGGGTCTTCCTCTTTTTCTCATGACCTATAAACTTGTCTTTGCAAATTTGGACTCCATGAAATTAAAATCTAGTAATAATCAGTCATTGAAATGTGATGTTTCCATGGAGTCGGTTCTGATTCACAGTGACCCTGTATAGGGTTTCTGAGGAGTGACTGGTGAGTTTGAGTCACTAACCTTGTGGTTCAAACCAACTTTGCGATCCAGCGCTTATCCCAAAGCACCAGGACTCCTTGAAATGTAATAGGGCTATCAAAACATATAGAATAATTTCTCACTCTTTTTCACTCAACTCTGTTTTATTCTATATACTATTGCACATTTAAAAATTTTTGAATTTTAGAGTGATTAACTTTAATTTATATTTCTAAATAAGGAGCTCTGGTGGTGCTGTGGGTTATGGGTTGGGTTGTTAATCTCAAGGTTGGCTGGTTCAAACCCACCAGCTGCTCCTCAGGAAAAAGATGAGAGTGTCTGCTCTGTAAAGATTTATAGTCTCAGAAGCCCTATAAAAAGAGTTGCTATAAGTTGGAATCAACTTGAAGGCAGTGGGATTTTTCTAAATGGTTTTAGTTGGACTAGGGACAGTAACAATTTCCTAAAGAAAACACTACTTCTGAAGAAATACAACTTTATTGTTAAGTAATTCAATCTCGCAGTTACACATCTGTTCAGTACCTGAATAGCTGAGTGTTGTCATCAAGATTTTCTGATCCCCATCTGCCTTTGATATCTTCAATTACATGATTCTTAAGAAATTTTCTCAGCAGTTGGATAGTCTGTTGCCTTGTAACTTCAGGACCAAAATTACTATTATTTCTTAATAGGTCATAAAGCCAGTCCACAGCTTCACCTGCGGTGAAACAATTACCATATTTCTTAAAGTGTTGCCTATGCTTTCTTAAAGGCATTCCTGCCCGAAATGATGTGGTTACTTCATTCCACTGCAAAAAAAGAAGAAGTAGAGGTTAAACAATACAAAACAGCATCTCTTTATGATCTGAAATAAATTAGACAAATACTCCATTGGATAGTTAATTGACTTAGGAAGTCTAGAATTTAGGAGAGCTGCAATGGACTTGCTTTTTGGTCTTCAGTAGACAAAGTATGCATTCCTGTTTTTATCTCCACTATTATTAAGAATTCATGGTAACCCTTTATGTCACAGTAAAACTGTGCTCCATAGGGTTTTAATGGCTGATTTTTGGAAACAGATCACCAAGCTTTTCTGTCAAGGAGCCTCTTGGTGAACTTGAACCTCTAACCTTTCAATTAGACTCAACTTATATTGATGGCAGTAGAATATTAAGACTATCTGGCAGTACTATGTTTTATAATCATTATTTCTCTGTCATTCTTATATTTCTATGAATGTTGTTGTCAAGTGCAGTCAAATCGTTTTTGACTCATAGTGACCTTATATAGGGATTCCAAGGAATGGCTGATGGTTTGTGGTTAGCATCCAATGTTTATCAATAGCTACTAATATTTTCCACTTTATAGAAAAGGGAAAAAAGTTAGCGCCAAGAAATTCAATAGTTTGACCAAGGTCACAGAGCCAAGTGTTGAACCCAGGCATTGAAAGCCAGGTTTGATAGACTCAAGAACCTGTTCTCTCCACTAATATGATTGTCAAACAAAACTCAAGGCAGGCAATAGCTTTATTGGCAAAAGACCTTGGAAGTTTATAAATTTACTTAATATTTCTTATGTAAGGATTCCTATGGTGAAACTACAAGACTAAGTAAACTAGGTAAACTGCAAATGCACTGCATAATTATTAACACTGTGACATATCTACATTTTTAAGATACTTTGTTTTCGAAACTGTCCCCAAAGTAGCCAATTTTCTAGATTTGTTGCTCGTTCTAACAGTGCAGAGGTGTACGTGGTGGTGTAGAATGAACACAACACTTTTTTATTGAAAACTCCTACTGAGTCACGCAATGCTACTACTAGCTTTATAACCACTTATGTAACCTAACTCCACCACGGCACATAACAACAACAACAATGTAACCTATGTGGCCCCAACATCACAATGCAAAGTTTGGAGGCAGTTCCAAATCATAGCAACCTGTATAGGGTTTCCAAGGCAGTACATCTTTTAGGGAGCAGAAAGCCTCACCTTTCTCCTGTGGAGCAGCCAACAGATTCGAACTGATGACCTTATGGTTAGCAACCCAATTTGTAACTCACTACACTACCACGGCCCTTTAATGACCCAAAATATAGTGAATGAGTTGACCCCAACTCATGGCAACCCTCGTATGCACAGTAGAGCTACTCTATAGGGCTTTCAAGGCTGTGAATTTCAGCAGATTGCCAGGTCTGTCTTCTGAGGTGCCATTGAGACGGTTGGAAATATCAGCCTTTAGACCACCAGTTGAATTTAGCTTAATTGTTTGTACCACTCACAAACTACAAAAATACATAGCAATTCTTTTGTTTTCACATTATCACCTTTTTCAAGAAACATAACAGTAAACTGCTGACTATTAAATAGTTGCCTGGGAACACAGTAGTGAAAATGACAGTAGGGGTTCCTGACCTTTAGCTACATTACAGAATAACAAGGCAGTGCATTATGTAAGTGGGCTTTAAGAGTAGGCTCTGGAGTCAAACTACTAAAGTTTGCTTCTTGGCTCTAGTCCCACCACTTACTGTTTAATGTGACTTTTCCAAGAAACTATATTATTTCTTGTGCCTCAATCTCCTTATGCATAAAAATGGGGAAAACAGTACCTACCAAAAAGGCTTGTAGGTATGAACCACAAGGTCAGCGGTTCAAACTCACCAGCCACTCCTTGGAAACTCAATACAGGTTTGCTAAGAAAGAGCTTCTGGTAGCATAGTGGTTACAGATTGGGCTGGGAACATTAAGGTCAGCAGTTCAAAACTACCAGCTGTTTCGCGGAAAAAGATGCGCTTTCTGCTCCCATAAAGAGTTACAGCCTCGGAAACCCCTGTACAAGGTCGCTGTGAGTCAGAAGCGACTCCACAGCACATCACCACCACCACCACCAGAAAGGCACTTAACACCAACAACCTAATAGGTTTGTTATAAGGATACAATGATTTCATACAGTTACTAAGAAGGACTCTGCAGGAGAAAGATGAGGCTGTCTGCTTCTTTAAATATTTAGTCTCAGAAACTCTACATAGGGTCCTTATGAGTCAGAATCCCCTTCATGGCAGTGGGTAAGGAGAGCAATCAATCAGTAAATACTCCCAACTCCCACATGTGCTTGTTCTACTTTCATTTAATTTCATGAACTTTTAAAGTAACGTGAGCTGTTTAGGTTCCTTCCAGTCCTAAATTCTATCCTTGATAAGGATAAACACAATAACTTGCTGAGCAGCAGAACACCTGTAAAGAACACTATACCAGGAAAATCTGAATTCTCCCAGTTTTGCCACTTACCATTTGTGTGGCTAAAGGAAAGTCACTTAAATTTTGGGAGCTGAGTACAAAGCCACCTTAGTGAATTTCCTGCGACAACACTGGGAAACTGTAAGTGAAACTGTTTTGTTTAATCCTAAAAATATAGAGCTATTGAAGATCTTAGAGTAAACTCATTGCCTCCCGATGGATTTCTACTTATAGAGCCCCCTGGCAGGGCAGAATAGAATTGATTTCCATAAATAGGAAGGATATCCAAATCTTTACAGAGAAGCCCTGGTGTAGGATAAGTACCAGCATAAAGCTGAATGCTTCTATAAACATTTTTCTCCTTCCAGTTGTTGATGGGCCGAATCCAGCCACCTTTCAGTTAGCAGGCCAGTGCTTCACCAATGACTGCAGCACCAAGGCTTCTTCCAAATGCACAAGACACTAGAACATTACACATCCAATGTCACCAACAATGGTTACTGATGAGTAAGTACTTCCAAAATACGTCTGTCTTCTGAAATAAGCAACTGTTACCTAGTGTTTTTAGGCCAGGGCACAGTATAAGTTATGTTGTTGTTGTTGTTAAGTGCCGTCGAGTCGGTTCCGACCCATAGCGACCCTGTACAGGGTTTCCGAGGGTGTAAATCTTTACGGGAGTAGAAAGCCTCATCTTTCTCCCGCGGAGCAGCTGGTAGTTTCGAACCGCTGATCTTAAGGTTCGCAGCCCGATTCGTAACCACTACGCTACCAGAGAGCTATAGCATTCGGCGCTAAATTAAGGAAGCCGTGAAATCAGATCTTGGCATAGCAGAGGAACTCGCTCCAGGTTGTTTTCTGATCTTGACCGGAGTAGGAAGGCGTGGGGAGCGGCTAAAATCCGAACTGTCTGCAGAGGATCCCCGGGTCGCGGAATTTAGCGGGTGCGTTGTGGCCTTGAGCGGGTGCGCCGAGGGCTTGGGCTCTCAAAGATGGGTGAAGTGAGCCCGGCAAGGGTTCGGCGACACCGTTTGTTGCCCTCACCCATCTTCAATCAGGAGCCCTGGTGGCGCGGTGTTAAGCGCTCAGCTGCTAACCGAAACGTCTGTAAATTGCGGGGCGATGTGCCCATTCGAAATCCTTACAGATTACAGCGTTCAAAACTCTACGGGGGTAATTCTGCTCTGTCTCAAAGGGTCGTTATGAGTCAGAATCGACTCCACTGCAGTGGGGTTGTTTTTTGTTTGTCTTTTGCACCCACTGAATCTATTGCTCCGACCAGGGTAAAATTACAAAAGTGGAGGCTGCTGCCATCCCGCTCGTCGCGCGCAGACTTACCAATTTGGTGGCCCGATAAGGTCCGGGAGGCACACCCCGGTTCTCCATTCCGCCTTCCCGGCCAAAAGGTTTATTAAAGTCGGGTGTCGTCCATGACGCTGGGTCCCGGAGGTAGCAAGGCACATCCGTTGGCCCCGCTGTCGATTTGAATACTGCAGTGGGTTGCGCTGATTGGCCGGAGCGCAGGATCACGTGACGCCACGGCAACTTCAGCGTTGGAGGCTTGGCGGAGATGGGAGTGGGCTGAGACCTGTGTCAGTCCCCGAGGCTGATTTGGAGAACTTGGTTGGTGGGGACGGTGGGCGGGGGCGCGGGGAGCGACGCCGCACTCCTTTCCCAGCCTTGGGGCCCAAAGGTCAGGCTTGGGCTTCACTAGGCTCCCTTGGCACGGTTTCTCCCTCTTGCAGTCGATGATGGCAAGGCTGAGTTAGATTTCTCTGCTCACTAGGGCTGAGAGTGGGAACGGCGCTCTAATCCCTAACAAAATTCTTTGGAGTCCAGCTTTTGGTTTAAGGAAACGTGAAATTTAAAAAACAAAACAACAACCAGAAAAACCGGTTTTCCTACAAGACTCTAGGATTTCCAGCAGTGTTAGCATGTAAAGCAAAGCACTTTCGCGTTTCTTGGATGTGTCTCCCTTCACGCTCACCTTGGCCATCTCAGCAGGGCCCCCAACGCAAAAGTGTAGCTTCATAACTCCTTAATTCTGCTGGAGAATGGAGCATAAATGGATTTCCAAAAATACACTCAATGTAGGGCTTGGAAAGGATGTAAAACTTGCAAAACTGCTTCACTTAAAACCTACTCCTATTTCTTTATCATACGGTTTATGTTTCCATGCTGATCATACACTTAAAAATGTGGTGGGATCTTAGAAAACAAATGTACAACAGACATCGTTATACAAATGTACTCAGCGTTGAAGAGACTTGCCCAAAGTCTTGGATACAGATGGCAGAGCTCAGATTCCATACTTTTATTAAATGCTCTTTCCGTCACCAGCATGAAACTATTTCATATTAGGAATTCCTTAGTACTACAGACTGAGAGAATGTATGAATGATTTGAAGCAGTGGAAGAATTAATTTGAATTTAAACAACAATTTTGGACTTAAGGAGAAATAAAGGAAAATGTTACAGGGAGGAATGGTAGAGTAGTGGTTGGTATTTACCTTAACCATAGAACTAAAGGGCAGATCAATTGGAGACACACCTAAGGTCTGAGTAGGACCATTATCCCTCTCCCCCAGAAAAAAAAAAAGACTGTCATTGAGTGGATTCCTCATAGTAAACTTCCAGGGCAGACACAGTAGAACTGCTCCATAGGGTTTCCAAGATTGTAAATGTTTACTTGGTGGGTTTTTTTTTTGTTTTTGTTTTTTTTAAACACCATTAGCAACCAAAAAATTAACCCACTGTGCCACTAGGGCTCCATTTGGTATACAAACACAGTCAATTAGGATTTATGTTCAGGAAAAGAAGTAGAATAATAGATGTTGCAAAAATGGTGTTACCCATTTTTAAAATCTTGCTTTATAATACAATATATTAGGATTTTTTTTTCCTTTTGCTGTCTATTTTTCTTCAGAATGAAATGAAGATGAGACTGTGAAAGACAAAAGTACTTTGCATTTTTTGCATATTTCTCTGGTTTGAACTCATTTAATGGCAAATGGTAGCACCTGATTCAAAATCATCTCCCATGCAGGCTTTGTTGTTATGAATAAAAACAAAAACAACATAGTGACCCTGTACAGTGTTTCCAAGAAGTGATTGGTGAGCTTAAACTGTTGACCTGTGGTTAGCATTCCAGTGCTTATCCTAAAGCGCCACACTAGGACATTATTTGCCTCTCATGCTCATATGGTGACATTTTTCCTGAGGCTATATGACATGTGATGATGTCATTGTTCTGACAGTTTATGGAAAGTGTTTTCTAGAATTTTTAAATGTCATAGATTTAAGATATAAATATGTATATTTCCTGAGATTAATTCAAGTTTTCTCAGTAGTTTTATGTTCAAAGTAGCTATCTTCAGTTATACCTGGTTATCTCTATAGCCTCAATATCATCCAATAAATTATTTTAAAATCCTAAAACAAAAACAACAAACCCAGCTGTTGAGTTGATTCTGACACATGACTACTCAATGTGTTACGGAGTAGAACTATTGCATAGAGTTTTCTTGACCATAACCTTTTCAGAAACACATTGTCAGGCCTCTGTTCCCTAACACTTTCAGGAAGTGTTAGCTTTAGTTAGTATTTATGTATAAACCAGCATTTGGAAGTGTTGTTGTTAAGTGCTGTTGAGTCAGTTCACAGCTTAATACCAATGCTTCTAAGCGATTCCCTGACAAGGGATACTAATAATGGCACAACATTCATTAAAAATGACAAGGTATCATCTATAACATTTTAAAAGTCCTGGTGTGGCAATGCAGGGTAAGCACTGGACTGTTCCTTTGTTTTTGTTTTTTAATTTAGTTTCATTAATTTAGTTGAGCCCCAAAAGACAGGCAATTCCACCTAAGTAGTTTCAAATACTTGTTACTTTTCAACCATTCATATGCAAGATCCTGGATTACCTAGTGTGCAGACAATTGCTATAGTTTAGATTTAGAAGTAGAGTTGACATTTATTATTTTGTCTGGTAATTAGCCTTCATGTCTTTTAGGAATAGCATACTTCCTCATTTGGAGAATAACTCCTTTCACTCTAATTTATATTCTGAATGGGCACTTCCATCTTCTTTTATAACTTCCCTCTTTACTCTCTAGGAATGAACTTTTGACCCAATTAAGCCATACAGTTTTGCTCCCCAGAGTCAATGACTCAAGCTTTCTTAGTCAGTCTTGAGGATTTTTAAACTGGGTCAATGTAGGGATTCTTGGAATTAGGCCATAGCCACAGCCCCAAGCAATAGCCAATGGGGCGGATCTCTGAGGAAAACCAGAGAGCATACAGGCATCCATACTGAAAACAGTACGTGCTAGACACAGCAGACATAGTTTGATAGCATTTACAATTAGTTTTGCAGAAAGCACAAAAACAACTTCTTGCAAAGTCAGCATGTCACTTCCCTTCCACTCCCTCCTCAAAAGGAATGTACTTCCATTTCCTCACATCCTCCTTTGCTCCCTTTACTTGCTTCAATAAAAACCCTCCAGGACTATTTGGGGACCTCAGTCAAGCCTGACTGTGGTCTTCCCTAGGTCCTTTGGTGCATTGCATCTGTAGTCTGAGTAGTTTTTGTCTTCACGACAGGTCTAGAAGGAAGAGCCTTAATTTTCTGATGACCAAACTAAGAAGATAAAAGCCAAAAGCCAGTGGTGACTGTAGTTTCAGCTGAATAGAAAATCCTGGTCAGTCTGGTCAGTCAGAATGTACTGATAACTAAAGAGAAATAGAAAAGAGAGGAAATCTTTTCAATCTTTTTGAGGCTAACTACATTCCTGGTGTGGTGCTATGGGCTAATGCATCAGACTGCAAAGTCGTTTGAACTGTAAGGTTGGTGGTTCAAGCTCATCAGCGGCTCCTTGGAAACCCTATACAGGGTTGCGATGGGTTGGAATAGACTCTATGGCACTTAACAACAACAAAATTCCTAGAATGCATTATGTTATTGACATATACACAGACACACACATCTAGGCATATATGGAGCGCTGGTAGCACAGTTGGGCTTTATTAAAGGCAGTAGAAGGATGAGACTGTCTACTTCTGTAAAGATCTGTAGTCTTGGAACCCATATACAGGGTTGCTATGAGTTGGAACTGAGTTGACAACATACAACTTCCATAATGCTTGTTGTTTGCTAAGAGCCAGAGTCAATCTGACCCATAGTGACCTTCTATAGGGTTTTTGAGGATTGGCTGGTTGGTTTGAACTGCCAACTTTGCAGTTAGCAGTCCAGTGCTTAC